GACGTTGCCTTCAAGCCCGGTGCCGTTTCCTAGCCTAGGGAGGAGGGGAGCGGCAGGAGCCAGGACAGAGCTGAGCAGGGCAGGCACTGGGGGATGTGTGACAGCAGTGTCCCAGGGCAGCCGAGGGCAGCAGCGCATGGCGGGCAGTGACCCTTTGCTGCGGCTCACTTGGCCACTCTGGAAGTTGGCCGCTGGGAGCCTGATGTGGCTCACTTCACTGGAGCTGATTCGCTTCAGCTGGCTGGTCGTGGCAGGCCGCTGATTACCAATGGCGGGTCTGGGCAGGCTGAGGAACTAAGTCCTTGGGCTGAGAATGGACCCTGCCCCGGCCCAGGGCTCTGCTAGTCCCTGGACCTCATGTTCTTGCCCTTGACAGGACCCTGAGCTGAAGCTCACCCTGAGAAGCAGCAGGCGAGGCTCCAGGGCCCACAGGGAATGACCCAATACTGACCCTTTGAGCAGTGAGGGTGGGGACCATGACCAAAGAGCTGGCAGGGAGGGGAGACCCAGCTGGGAATGGCCAGTGTCTGGTCTCGGATGCTGCTAGATGACCTGTTAGCTGCCCTCTCATCCGTCCATCCACTGCTTCTTGGGGCCATTGTCCAGATAGGGAAAGGTTTGGCCTCGGGGTGAACAAGCTGGGCACGTCTCAGTGGTCTGTTTGTGGGGGACAGGACTCAAACAAATGACAAACAAATACAGGTGGAAATGGTCAACACTAACATGAAGGGAGCACCTGCCTGTCCCGAAGGCATGGGTAGGGACGGCTCAGGGACAGTGAGAGGGGCCCTCTGTGCATGCACATGCAGAGCTGGAGGGAGTGTCAGGCAGGGGGAGCAGCACGGACCCTTGGGTGAGAATCCGTGGGCTGCAAAGGAGACGGGCGGGAACACCTGAAGCGCAGTGGGCAGACGGGCGAGCTGAGAAGGGGGCAGAGCTGACCTTGGAGGCCAAAGATGGCTTTGGGACTTACCCAAAGTGCAGTGGACTGTCTTCCATGGTTTGTTTGTTTTTTGTCTTCCATGGTTTTTAGGATGTGCTCTGACCCAAAGTCAGTTTTCTGCTCCACTCTCCTCTGGGGGCTGCCTCTTGCATGAATCACCTGCCCGTGAATTCGCAAGTATCAGAGAGGTTGGAGAGCCTGGCTCCGGGCCTAGCTCTGCCTCACACTCAGAGTGACTCTGGAGGCCAGGGTGCTCTTTGCTCATTGATGATGCTTGCGCCTACCGTGGGGGTGGGGTGGTGGTGGGGGGTGGTGATGCTGACAGGAGATCACATTCACACCACACACACACACTGTAAGGAGGGATGGTCATTTTTCACCCATTCCTCCTGACTCCCTGTTCCACATTGTCCCTTGGGGTCATGGAGGTGAGAGTGTGGATCAACAAGGGATTTAGCTACAAGATTTAAACGATTTTCATAGTGAAAAGATAGCTCAGGTCCTCGTCAGTAAAGGGTAGAGTTGCACACCTGTTTAAACTCACCCATCCGTAGGGCTAATGCAACTCCAGGGGATCACAGGGTGGATTTTGAGGAGATAAACACGCCAGCAACACTCAGTAAGCGCTGCCTATGTGCTGGCCTGGAGCTTGTGTGGTAGGCGTCACTCTTGTGCTTCTATTGAGGGCCAGGTCCTTGAGGAGCTTGCCAAGACCACAGGTCTGGTCAGTACTGGCCGTGGGCGATCTATCCAAGATGTGAACATGTGGGCTTCAAGTGAATTGCCATATTGTCTTTTCATTTGTGATTTAAAAAGAAAAAAAAAGTACACCCTGAAGCAGGAATCAGATAGTCTTGTTAGGTGCTAGAACCTAGTTCAAAGAACCAGTATTGATGTCCTATAGTATCTGCTCAACCAAGATCTATGGATTGAATCCAGAAACAGACCATGCAAAGTCAAAATCTTAGCGTAAAACGTGACCTAAGAGTAGGTGTGGCTGAATACAGGGAAGAGGAAGAGCTATTGAATACGTGGGTCTGCAGAGCAGATAACTCTGTCAGTGGTGGTGAGGTAGACTGGGGGCAGACAACCATCAAAGCATTATACAGAAAATGAATCGTAGAGAACCCAGCAGAAAACAGATGATCAGGTGGTGGAAGAAGGCTCACTTTGTCAGCACTGAAGGGGGTGGGGGGAGGACTAGGATGAAAGATTGAACATCACATTAAAATGAAGAACGTGTTTGCCACAGTGATGAGAAAGCTAGTATCTTCAATGTACACCTAACATGATTGTCCAAAATTGGAGGTTCTAGTCCCCGACAGATAGAAGCCGTTCATTCCCAGATGGGAGGGATAGCCCAAACCCATTGCTGACCAGTTGACCAGAAGGGCCCCGTAGGGTTTCCATGAGTGTGAACCTGTATGGAAGCAGGTTGCCGAATCTTATCCCCGCCGAGTTGTTGGTGGGGTTGAACCGCAGGCATTTTGGTTAGCAACTGAGGGTGTAACCAGCTACTACCATGCCACCTCTGAGTTCCATCAGAAGGGGGGACAGGGACTGCGAATGTTAGTGAAACCACTCATTGTTGAAAGCTAGTCTAAGAAATGCTTAAAGTAACCTTGCACCAATGGACAAGACTGCTTGGGGTGGGGGTGGGGGAATGGTACTCAGGTGTTAGGTTCCTTACTCTCGTTGCCGGGAGGTGGTCTATAATGTGGGGGCAGCTAATCATGGCACTATGGGGCAGGACCACGAGCCTTCCTCGGAATTTGTTCCAAGGGCAGAGATCAAGAACACATTTTAAGAACAAATGTAGACCACACGAGAGGGAAGGTAACGGCCCACCTTAAACACGAGACCGGTGAACAAAAGAATGACGTTAGAGCAAGGCAGGGCCCAGGAGGATGTGCTGGTGGAAGGCTCTCTGCGTGACAAATTGCATTAGACAGACGGTAGTCGTATAAGGGATACTTTGTTCTCTTTTCATTTCCCCTTCTCTCTCTCTGCTGGTCAAATTGTCTTTTCAGTAGTGGTTCAAAAAGGAAT